CAACAGAGGTTTGCTGGCTTGTAGTTTACTTTTAGGACAATTGTTACCTATATTTGGTAAAATCAAATGTGAGTATTTGAATTTCATAGATAATGTATTATTTTCTTTAGTTTCTGGTAAGAGGACCACGTGATAAAAGCATATTGATTTGCAGCAACATAAATGTTCTCAAGATACGCTTCATTTCCGTAGCTCATGCTGTTCCCAAGATTTATTCCCTGAGAACAGGATGAACAGTGAAATATGGCTTGGACTGACTTCTGCTTTTGTGCATACATATTAGCTTTAAAAATAAAAATAAATGTTTAATATGTTATTTGTATGCTTTCCCATTCTCCTGCCCACAAATAGAGAAAATCAGAGGTGATATTCAGCAGGTTCTGACCAGTTCTGGAAAACTGGTAGCGGAAATTTTGAGTAGTTCGGAGAACCGGTAAAAACCACCTCTGATTGGCCCTCCCCAATTTATTCTTTGCCTCGCGAGTTCCAGCTAATTGGTTGGAAATGGGGATTTTGCGGTAACCTTCCCTTGGAGTGGGGAGGGAATGGGGATTTTACATTATCCTTCCCCTGCCACTTCCACCAAGCCACACCCACCAAGCCATGCCACGGCCACCAAGCCACGCCCACGGTAGTAAAAAAAATTGAATCCCACCACTGGTTAAAATTAACATGTTCACATTAAAACATCCTGTAAGGAACAATTAAAGAAGATGAATATGTTTAGCCTAAGAAAAGATGACCTCAGAAAAATGCAGCAGCGTTCAGATACCTGAATAATTATCATGCAGGCAAAGGGGTAGATTTATCTTCTGTTTACCCCAGAGTACAGAGCCAGAAGCAGTGAACTAAAACTACAAAGAAGTAGACTCAAAGAAGATGTGAAGGAAAACTTTCAGACAGACTGCCACTTGAAACAACGAGCTTTCCCTTATTAGAAGTCTTCAGACAGGCTGAAGGGTTGTCTGTTAGATACGGTCCAGTGACTCCTGGACTGATCTCCAAGGTCCTTCCCAGCTCCGTGATTCTATACTGTCCATGACTGACAACATTATCCTTTTGCCTGCAAGTCTTGCTTAGATGCTAAAATAAATAGCTCCATAGTTAGTGTGTAGTCTTGTCAGACTCTCGCTTGACTAAAAGGACTTCTGGACTCTTCCTTCCTTCCTTCCTTCATTCCTTCCTTCCTTCCTTCCTTCCTTCCTTTCTTTCTTTCTTTCTTTCTTTCTTTTTTCCTTAGTATATATATCATTGATTCCTACTTAGTTAAAATCAGATTAATGACCATCCAGATCAAAATCTTAAAAAATAATTTAAATATTGAGATTTGTTAAAAGTGCTTTTAAAAAAATATATCAACAAATTGGCCATAAATCTTCTCTTTCTTCTTCTTCTTGGAGCAGTTTAATTAAATGCTGTTGAGCATCACCACCTCCACTGAGAGCTTCTGTGTCTTTAATTACATCCTTAGATCTTATCCAACTCCTTCAGTACTCTTTAGCTAAAAGGAACACACCTACGTAACAGTCAGAAAGATCCACGATCTAAACCCCAGCTTATATTTTGATTGAGCTCAAGCTGCTTCCCAGTGATTGTTTGGATCCATTGCTTTCAGGTCTTAACAATATGCAAGCAAATGGCATTCTCTAGCTATTGTTAGCGCGAATGGATGGCTTCCGTGACCCAGAAAAACATTGTTGAAGTAATCTTAGAATCAACTCTTAAGGCTCCATAGGGAAATAAAGCTGCTCCTAATAAATTTACAGAGAGAGAGAGGGGGAGGGAGGGAGGGNTATATATATATATATAAGGTGGAGTAGGTAGACAGGTAACTTGACTCAGGTTGTTCAATTCCCAGAGGAACACACTGCTTGCTATTTGCCTTCTAGGGAAGTATCTTGTCAGCACTTTCATAGCCCATAATAGCACATTTCTCCTGACACCTTTTCTTCTACATTACTTGGTAAATCTTAATGATTACAGAGATGTTGCTTTTCCTCTCCTTCCTTGCATGTGTCCCTGGGATGGGACTGAAAAATGTTAACAACGGGTTCTCTCCCGTTTTCACTCTCCCCAAGCCCCAGAGCCTTTCCTCGAGCCTCCAGGAGGGTGAAAAGAGCATCTGTCAGGCTCTGGAGGCCCCCCCGAGACCAGAAACAGGCCCATTTTAGGACTTCCAGTACTTCTGGTAGGCCCATTTTTTGCCGTCTCCAGGCTCTGGGGGCTTCCCCAAGCCTCTAGGAGGGTGAGAATGGCATTCTCCTGGGCTCTGGAGACCAGAAACAGGCCCATTTCCAGACTTCCGGGAGGCCCATTTTTTGACCTCCCAGACCCTCTGTGCGAACCCTGCACTTACTTGGCATGATGAACAGGCTGTGTGGAGACTCCTGGGAAGGGCGGGGAGGGGTAGGCAGGGCCAGCCGGTCCTTTCAGCAACCGTTTCAGTGAACCGGATGCAAAATTAACATCTGGTTCGCCCAAACCGATGCGAACCGGCTGAATCCCACCCCTGATGTGTCCAGATAAAATAACATTTCCACCTATTAACCTGCTTTGCAAACAATGCCCCTTCTGGGTGAAATCAATTACGCTTTGGGGAGGGGGGAAATCTTGCACTTATATATTTTCATTTTAGTTGCTCAGAAACCTTGAAAAATCTGCTATCAAACTGGCAAAGGAAGATGAAGACTATTACAAGAAGAACTTAACTGCCTGTGAAACACGTGTGAAATGGGAGCAGACGTTAGAAAATGGGCACCAGGCAAGTCATCAGAGGTTTCTTTCTAGTCTTGTTTTAGTCTGTCTCTACTGAGCTTTTCTTCAGCTGGCAACAAGTCATATTCTTTTCCTTTTCCAATTATATTCTAGTTCAATTTGCAATTCTGTGAGGCACCTCCTGATTTACAGCTGTGCGTTCAAGATAAAACATCTAAGGCCCCCAAAAGTATAACTTTAAGCCCTGTTTTGTTGAAGATATGAAACAAAACGGTTTCTGTTCCCAGCATCTCAAGCATCCCACACTTGTCACTCTATTGATGGAAAGTTATTTATTTGTAACAAATAAATCCCCAACCTAAATGGTCCAATAATTTAGCTGTGCTGATGGAGACCTCGTACACATTTTTGTCACCATTCCAGAATAACAAACTGTATGTGAGAGCAGGCATCATTAGATGAAGCCATTTCATTTCATTTTTAAAATATCCTGCATGGTCCCATGACAAAAAAAAGTCTTCCCAGGATCACAACTCTAAAAAAAAAACTTAGAGCAAGCTATTTGCAAGAGAACCACCTACAACTTCCTAATTATGGAAGGATAATCACTTTTTCTTTCCCAGCATTAGTCTGATGTGAAAATGTAGGTAACAGCAGGCTAGAAGGTATTAGTAGCTAAAGGTAAAGGTTCCCCTCGCACACATGTGTTAGTTATTCCCGACTCTAGGAGGCAGTACTCATCTCAAAGTTTCAAAGCCAAAGAGCCAGCGCTGTCCAAAGGCGTCTCCGTGGTCATGTGGCCGGCATGACTAAATGCCAAAGGTGCACAGAACGCTGTTACCTTCCCACCAAAGGCGGTTCCTATTTTTCTACTTGCACTTTCTACATGCTTTCGAACTACTAGGTTGGCAGAAGCTGGGACAAGTAAGAAGATCAGCTTCTTAGTCACTGAGCCACCTTTTCTCAGGCCTACAAAATGTCAAT